GCTTCCCACAGCTTTATTTTCCAGCAGCCAGAATGCACATTGTAAAACACAAGTCAAGTCCACCCTATTCCTCCCCTGCTCAAATTCTCCGGGGCTCCCACTTCAAGCAGAGTGAAAGCCCTAGTCCTCCCATGGCCTATGAAGCCCTGCGTGATGTAGCCCCAGCCAGCCTGTCTACCATCAACCCTCCACTGTCCCCCGACTCTCTGCTTCGGCCACACAGGACTTCTCCTTGCTCTTCTCTTTCCCGCTGCCTCGGACATCCTTCCAAAGGCCTCCATGCTGCTCACCCTCACCTCATTCAGTCCTCTGCCCACATGCCATGTCCTTGCAGGGGCCTGCCCTGACCACCTTCCCTCAAAGAGCCACACCCTCCTCCCTGGGACTCCATCCCCCCCGTGCTTCTTCACTTTTTCCATAGCACTCGGTTGACCCTTTAGATTTCATATTATGTTTACAATATATATCATATGTGATTTTACTTGGTTATTGGCTTCCCCTATTAGACTATTGATTGCCATGAGAGCAGGGACTTTGTCCTACTTACCACTCTATTGCCAGCATGTAGCACAGTGCCTGGTATACAGCAGGTGCTCCATATATTAGTGGGATGAATGACTGCAGCTTAAATAAACAGGTTCCTTCGAGGCCCTTGTGCCCTCTTGCCCCCTCCTTGGCCGTGTGCGGATTGAACAAATCTTCCACAGGGAACAAAGAGCAGGCTGATGGCACTACTCACCTCCAAGGGTCTTGAATACTTAACAATGGGACCAGCCCTTTGCTAAATCCTTGGTACACATTATCAGATGAAACCTAGAAACAACCCAAGAGGTGGTACTATGATGGCCCCTAGATGACAAAGGTGCAACTTGGGCACCGAGACATTATATAGCTTGTCACCATCACATATAGGAAGGGAACTGAGGACATTTGAATCCAGAGTCTGTACTCTTAACCATTAAGCCAAGAATATAGCTTCCCAGAGAGAAGACCCAGAAGCTGACTTTCACACCCAGTTGGTCACTAATTCATTTCACAACTTCTCTTGAGTGCAGGTTTGTGAGGAGGTGGAGGGAGTAGTGCTGGGGCATAGAGGGAGTATTTAGAGGTAAGACCTTCCCTCTAAAGGCCTGCCTGCCTCCCTCCATCCCTCCCTCCCCATGTTGGGTCCCCAGATCCTGACAGCCTCAGAGGAATCCTATGCCAGATCATCTCCCACTAATTGGCTTAGCAAACTATACTTATCTGGGAAAAGCTTGGGCCCAGTGAGTTCAAGATTAGGGAAAGCAGGATTCATGGTTTACTGCTCTGCTGCCCACAGGGTCAGAGAAGACAGGGTTAGGACTTTAATTGGCTTAACAACCCTGAGCGGCTTAACAGCTCCGGGGGGGGTTAGGGTGTTAGGGTTGGGGAGGCGGGGAGGGATGGAAACACAGGTTGCTGTCCAGCTCACAGCCAGCTTCATGTCCCACCAAAGGATCTGTGGTTGATTTTCTCAGGGATCCATCTGTCTTTGTGTGGGGCCAGTGCTCTGGGATCCTCCCACACCAGCAGTGTGGGGGTGCCAGAGATAGGACTTGGGCTTGGGAGATGAAGAAAGCTGGGCTGGCACCTCCCCTCCCCCCACTTCCGCAGTGGATGAGCTTGGATGAGTTACTTGACTTCTCTGAGCCTCATTTTCTTGTCTGATTGGGTATATCAATTGCCACCAGAGGGGAGGTTTCAGGGTAAAACGAGATCCAGTGTGTGGAGCACCTCATCTGGGGCCTTTTGGGACGAGGTGGGTGCACAGTGCCCATGAATTCCTTCCCCTCCTCTGCCTCCTCAGAGCCCCATTTTGTGTTTAAAATAATAACACCCATTTCACAGGGTTGTTTGGGAACAGAATCCGGCCTTATCAGTTGAATCCATGTGCTGTCACAGGTCTGTGTTACCTGGCTCCTCAAAGTACTGAGACTTTTGATTCAGCATTGTATAAGCTTGAGGAGTGGCAAGCAATTTTTATAATTCAAATTATTTTATTCAGAATTGAGGGTGTGGGATCAGAAGGTGGACTGGCCAGTCTCCCAGCTTGGGTCCTGTAGAGCTCAGACACACCTCACCTTCCTCATTACTCCAGGTTCTACCACTCAGAACATCTGCACCAAGCCCTGCTGAACAGTGAACATGCTCATTGTGGGAACATTTCACGTGGTAAGAAAACATATGCCAACATTGCTTAATTTCTAGGAATGCCAGCCCCAGTGGCTTCTCTCTATCTTGTCTGGGTTTTCCTCCATTTAGCCAGATCCTTGGCCATTTTAGAATCCAGAGCTTTGGGGACAGGGGTCCAGAGACTTCAGCTCTGATAACCAGTCCCAGAGTCAGAATTCCAGAAAGGGAAGGCTCCTAAGGTCATCAGATCTGATATTCTCATTTCACATACAGGGAAATTGAGGCCCAAAGATGGGAAGAGTCTCGCCCAAGGTCACCTAGTGAGCTAGTTATAAACCCTGATGTAGCCATGGGTTTCCTGATCCACGCCCCCAGTCCAGCACTTTCCCCACAATACACACTCTCTCTCCATCCTTGCCCACAACGTTCAAATCCCTCCCCCGCCTTTCACATTCTTATCTCAGTGCAGCAGAAGCTCTGACTTCCTATCTCCTGGAATCTTGGGATCTCAGACTCATAATTCTTTGAGCTTGGGGGACACTTTAGTGGCAGAACTGCAGGGTGGATAAATTGAACTTGGGCTTTGAAGGCAGAGAGTCCTGAGTCCCAGGTCTTCTACTCCTTAGCTGTGTGACCTTGGGCAAAGATGCCCCCTTTCTGAGCCTCTATTCCCTCAGCTGTTAAGTAGGAATAACAATACAACCACATCCCAAGAGTATTGGGAGGGACACAGGAGATGAAACAGGTAAAAAAGCAACCAATAGGCTTGGCACAAAGTGAATGCTTAATAAAATAATTGTTATAGAACTATAAATTAGGGCTCTTATACCCCTAATGCCTAAGTGAAATGGTCCAGATGTGATCAAAGGGAATGAAACTGGACAAACTGAAACAAATATACCCTGTCTAAATTGCTACAGGCCTGATACTGCTAGATTCCTTTTTTTTTTCCCCCAAGAGAAGCTAGAACTCTGGATTTTTGAAATACTATACAAGCCAAACAAGACACTTCTGTACGCCATATTCAATTCCGGGGCCATTAGTTTGTCATCCCTGCAATATCATCTCATCCCAACCCCCTCACTTTACAAATAGGGGAGAGTGGAAATAGCCCTTTTATCTGAGAATCTATGGTGCTCCAGGGACCCTCAGCCATCTCCAGCCACTCCCTTAAGACCTCCACCCCACCCCCATGGTCATTTTTTGCCCTGTTTGAGGGAAACTTAGTTTATGTTCAAGAAAGAAGTATTTGTTTTTTGTAAGTAGATTCTGAACAAGGGGAGGAGGGGGTTTGAGGTAGCCAGTGAGTTGAGGGGCAGCTGGCCCACTTTAGGCTAAAGGGAAAGGAGGATGAAGCTTTGGCTACCAAGAATAGGAAGTTACCATTTCAGAATCTAAAAATATCTATCACCATCTGTCCACTCGGGCACAGAATGATAAATGCAGATTAGTTCCTGGATGTAGACATGAATATTTTTACGTGTCAAGCTAATAATAATAACACCACCTTGTGTGGATAGAGCTCCACCTCCGTATTCCCTCAGGGCAAGCTAAATGGAATATACACATCATCTCAGCAAGGCATGGATGGGGAAACCAAGGCAGAGAGAAACTCAGCAACACAACAAGGGTGACACAGCAAGTGAGCAGCTGGGACAAACCCTGGGAGTCCTGTTTCCAACACTCAGCCCAGTACTGAATCTTCTGAGTTAGGCGGAATGTGTTAACAAATAGCAGAATAAATATAACAACAGCAGTAATTACCCTTTACATCTCTATAGTGATTTTGACTTTTCCCATGCTTTCCCCACATCTGTGATCATGATAATCTATTACATTCCTAAAATACATTACAGTCTGCAAGGCCTTCACACAGATCTCCTCTCACCTGACCATCCCAACAGGTAAGAAAATGTGGTGGTAGACATATGAGATGAGATAAGGAAGGATTCTCCCTCATTTCACAGGTGAGGAAACTAAGGCTTGGAGGGAGGTTTATCTAAGATCACATAGTGGGCAAGTTCATTCTGTCAGTGTCCAGTAGAGCCTAAGCTACCAGAGCAATTCTGATTCAAGGGGAACCCCAGGTTCAGAATTCCTCCTGTCTCCAATTAGCTCAGCTCAGCAGACAGCCTGGGAGTGGGCTGCTTGTACAAAGCCTCAGTTTTGTTTTACTGCCCTGGAATTAAAGGACAGCTAGTGGCCATCTAATCTCTGATTCAAGATCCCAAATCCCCTCAGCCCTGTTGGGGGTAGGGGAGACACTGAGGGAGTCCTAAGCAACAGAAGAAGCCAGACAGCTTCTCAGCAGGGTCTGGCTCACCCTTAACCAGAAGTCCAAAAAGTTTGGGCAGGATATTCATTTAGCTGCCTCAAATTCTGTTTCTCCCAGGAGGCTGGGAATGGACTGCAATTCCAAACTGAGAATCTTTTGAGAGCAAGGAAGGACTTCTGAGATCTTTCCTAAGCTGAAGCTTGGCACTCAGGCAAAGGAGTGGGTCAAGGCTGGAGGGAGCCCTGGGGCCCTGTTCCAAGCTTCACACATCCCCTTCAGCCCTGGGCCCTCCTCATTCACACCCCCAAGGATCACTTTCTCTTCTTGCCCCATCCCTTCTTCCCTCAATGGCCAGATCAGAGAGGATGGCACTGGGGTTGGTCAGAGTTTGAGGGCAGAGGTCAGAGAGAAGCTGGCAGAGAAGAAATCAGAACTGCAATAGGGTGGGGCGGGGCGGAGGTCAGGACGCAAGGGGGATCTGGAGAGGTCAGAGTAGGGCTGGGGCGGCAGGTAGCCCCCCTCGCCACCCCCACTCCTCGAGCTCAGCTCCCTCCACCTGCGCTTCTCCTACCTCCAGACCTGGCCGAGCTGCAGGAGGTGGACGAGGGTCTGCAGCAGCCAGACGCAGAGGCGGCAGCAGCGGCGGCGGTAGGCGCTGGCCGAGGAGGGCTCGGGCCCGGGACCCAGCTGGGGGCTGCCTTCTTTGGTCCGGGAGGCGGTGGCGCTGTCCTTGGTGCTGATGGAAGGCCCGCCGGTGCCGCTGTCCTTGGTGCTGACGGCGGGTCCCGGGGCGCCCTCAGGCTCCGAGTAGTCGTAGACGAACCAGCGGAAGCTGAGCAGCTGCACAACCAGCGAGGGCAGGAGCACGAATAGCAACGTGAGGCCGAAGTAGGTGCGCTGACCCTGCAGGTAGTAGGAGGCCGCCAGCCACAGGTCCGTGGCGCCGTCGGAGAAGAACACGAGCAGCGCGCACAGCACCCAGCAGCAGTCCCGCAGCTCGTAGCGCGGCCCCGAGCCCCCAGCCCCGGTCACTCCGGGGCCCTCGGCCGCCGCCGCTGCCGCCTCCCCGCGCCCGCCCGCACCACTCCGGGCTCCTCCGGCCGCCCCCTCCGGCCCCGGGCCGGCCGCGGCCGCCGCTCCATCCGACTTCGCGGCCATGTTGGCGGAGCAGGAGGCGGGGAGCGACTTCCGGGCGGCGGAGGGGGTGGGGTGCGGAGTGGGAAGGACCCTGTGCGGGAGGCTCCCGCCTCCTCCTCTTCCTCCTCTCCTCTTCTTCCTCCTCCCCTCTACTTCAATTATTCATTCCCCTCGGCGCCTCCCCCGTCCCTCCCCCACCCCGCCAGGGCTACGGCCGGATGGGCGCAGGTCCCCAGGGAAGGGAGAGGGGGAGGGTAGGGGAGAGCATCCCAGGTCACCCTCTCCTTCCTTCCTCAGAGGCATGGGGCCCCAGCCACACGCTTTCTGCCTCTCATCCCCACCCCACTGCACTTCCTTATTTCCTCTTTTCTTCATCGCCCCCCTCTCCATCCTCTCCTCTTCCATTTATCTCCTCTGTTTACCTCCAGTGGCCTAGGTCTGAGGAGGATAGGGGCTAAGGGACTTGGAAGCAAGGAGCTACCTAGGCGGGCACCTCAGGAACTCTTTAGCAATCACTGGATGCTAACAAGCCATTTCCTAGTTTCCAGAGTGTTCGCATGTTGTTCCATCCCCGTCTTTGATCTTGAAGAGTCCCTTTTCCTATTGTCTTTTTCTTACTGGTTTGAATGAGAAAATTGCAGCTCTGAGAGTTGCTGTCTCTTCCCCACTCTCCCCTTTCCCCCCCTCAGGGACTGCTTTCATCTGGCCACAGCCCTAGTAGAGTTGGGCAGGGAAGGGGCAACATCAGAGGGAAGGGGATGGGAGGAAGCACCAGGCAGAGGGAAGAGCAAGTGCAGAGGCCTGCAAGCCTGAGATTTGAGGGCACATTTTCAAGGAATTCTGGACCACAGATCCAGGGAGGTGGAAAATTGGGAAAGATGGGGCTGGAGAGTTCTGAGGGATGAGACCCTAAAAGTCCAGAAGATGTACTTCCCAGAAGCAATGGGAAACCACTGCAGAATTTGAGCAGGAGACAAATGTGATCAAATCTGGATTTGCAAAGAAGCCCCTGCAGCCAGAGGAGAGAAATGCTCACTAGGAAACAGCTTGAGGGTGGAGAAGCCAGAGAGAGAATATAACAATAATTTAGGAGAGGAGGTAGGGTTACTTGTACATCCTGGATACCCCAGCTCACCCCCAACCCTTTTGCTCAGATTGGATGTATCAGGCATTTATTGTACAAACACTCATGTAGCAGTTTCTGTTTGCCAGAGACACTGGAATCACTATACAACTACTAACTCACTTTATCCTCACAATTTGTGAGGTAGTTTGTGTTTTTTTCCTCCCATTTTACAGATGAAGAAATTGAGTCACAGAGAAGTTAATTAATTTGTTTGGAGCTACACAGTTACTCAATGCTAGAGCCAAATTCAAGCCATCATGTGGCCCTAGAGTAGGCTTTGCTATCTCACAAGGGGAGGAGAGTTTGGTGAGAAGGGGAAGAAGCGGGGGGAGACTTGAGGACCACCCTGCTTCAGAGTAGCTGGGAAGGGAAGATAAAGGGCGACAGCTGCCCTGGGTCAGGAAGGAGCAGCCATCTGCAGTCCTGTAGCCCAGCATCCCTTTCGTGTCCAGGGACTGTTTTGGTCCCAGCAATGCTCAGGAGGTTGGAGAGCCAGCTGTGGCCCAAGGCTGAAAACAGAGAAGGAAGAGTTAGGGATTTAGGGAGTTTTCTAGGCTGGATTCAAAGCTAATAGTCTATCTGCAGGCATGTGTGGACTAGTGGGAGTTTTTGCGTGTTGGGCTGGAGGGGAGTCTGAATCCCAATGTGATTCAGTCAGGAACAGGATCTTTTCCCCTTTTTTCTGTTCTACAGCCCTAAGCAGGGAGACTCATGGAGTGCACAGAGGCCTGGGCAGAGGAAAACTCTGCCCTTGGATCCCCTAATGGCCCTGGGCCAATTCTGTACATGTCTGGATCTCTGCCTTCTCACAGGTGCCTGGATGGGGCCTGACAGTTAAGTTCTCACCTCTGGGCCCCAACCCATTGGAGGCAGCTCCTCTACCTCCCATGCCTATCCACATCCTAGGATCAAACTGTTCAAACAGGCAGTAGATGACACGTTTTTACTTCTGAGACTCTAGAACCAGGAAGCCTGGGTTCAAAACCTACTCACCTCTTCCTGACTCCATGACCTTGGGCAGTCACTCAATTTCTCTTAGCTTCAGGGAAAAAAGCAAAATGGGGAACTGTAACCAGTGCTTTCCTCCTGGGGCTGGGGTGAGGATAATTAATGCTAATTATTAGCTAAGGTGATGCCTTCCACAGAAAGCCCTCCTGGATCTCCCACCCAACAGTGCCCTGCTCCTTATCCCTCAGAGAAGTCTCTTTGACATCACCCTGTTACGAGCTTCCATGACATTTTAGTCTTTTCCTTCTTAACATCAGTACACTGGCAATTTATCTTTTTATGTGTGCCTGTTTGGAACTGCCTGGGAGCTCCATAAGAGTTGGGACAATTTATCTATTTTCTTCAACGAATTGCTGAGTGCCCAGTGTTTTGCCTGACACCGAATAGGCATTTTATAAACAACGCTGAATGCAATGAGTGAGTGATCAACTCTATGAAATAGCTTCTGTCGTTCTCCCCACTTCATAAACCAGGTAACTGACACAGACTAGGGCAGTGACTCACAGAACTATCGAGTCCTTCTGTGTGTCAGGAATTGTGCTAAGAACTTTACGGATATTACCACATAATTATCCTCAAACCAGCCCCCCCCCTTTTTTTTGCACAAGAAAACTGAGACCCAGGCAGGTGCTTTCACTTGCCCAAAGCCATTAGTTAGGAAGTAGCAGAGTTGGCATTCAAGAACTCTACTTTGGGTAACTGGAGCCGTGACAGAAGAAGGATTTGATGGGCTGTCTGAAGTGTGGACCAGGTGGGCATGACCCACCTATCAGTGGGACTGTAGAGGGGGGACCCTGACCTGAATGGTTTAGACTAGTATGTTCTAAGTGGCCTGAGATCAAAGATCGGGGATTCAGACTAGGACCAATAAGGAACTACAGGAATGGTGTTTTAGAGGAAGCTGTGTGGGGAGCGGTGTGCAGAACAGCTTGAGCAAAGGCTCTGCAATGGGACTGAGTCAGGCTCATTTAAGGGCTGAAAAGAGGCTGGGTGTGACTAGTGTGGAAGGAGAAGGTGGACCACAGCTGTTTAGAACTGGACTGGCCCTGAGATCTTACCCAGTTCCTCAACCCCCTCTCTCATTTTGCAGATAGAAACACTGAGGCCCAGAGAGAAGTCCCACGGCTAGCAAGTAGCAGAAACGAATCTGGGAGCCTTTCCTTCGTCCCCAAGGGCATGGTCTCTGAGCTTTGTTGGGAATCTTGGGAATCACTCTTGGGAACAGTCTTTTATCATAGCTGCAAGTTCAATCCATGCCTACTGCACCCTCTGCTTGGACCAGTTTCTAATAATTTTCCTTTAGTTCTTGTGTAAACTATGCACAAGATAATTGGCACAGCATTGTTTATAACTGCAAATATTGGGAATGACCCAAATGCCCATCGGTAGGGGACCAGCTAAATAAACCATGGACTTTTCTGACAACAGAATGACCGGCAGCAGTAAGGGAAGTGATGGAGCTCTCCATCTCCTAATACAGAGAGGCCTCCATGGGGACAAGCAAGGGATAGAATGGGGGTTGGTGTGGGGAATGAAGCTGGGTGAAAGGGAGGATAATAATCTATCTTTATATTTGTTGTATATGCACAAAGAAACTTTGGAAGTGTACATAAGAAAATGAGATTACCAAAGAAGGCACTGGACAGAAGGGGAACGGGGTGGGAGAGGGAGACTTCATATATGCCCATTTATAATTTTTTTTGGAATCGTGTAAATGTATTTACCTATCAATAAAATAAGATAATAATGAGGACAGCTGCTACTCAGCTAAGGCTGAATGCTGTCATATGGGAATAAGTGGTCAGTATGGTCAGATTTTCTAATTACTCAAGAGAAGCCAGAAATCTGGATTTTATTGTACAATCTCTTGGTTTTTAAATGTTGGCTCCATTTTTGCTCAGACATTTTTCAGGCCAAGTAAATAGGTCAGTGGGTCAGACACGGTCTGAGGGCCACCAGTTTCAGCCTCTAATGGCTTCCTGCTCCCAGGGCTGGAGTTCTCAAGCACCCCAGGGCCCCACCTCCATGTGGTCAGCAGAGGACAGAAAAGTGCCTTGTTGTGCCCCCCTCTCCTGGCACCCTCAAACCCTTGCCCCTTGGGGCTGTGACATTTGGGGCTTTTAACTCAAGATCTGGAAGGCAGAGAGGGGTTATGAACTCTCAGATAATTCCCTCCCCAGGGGCCCTGCAGGCTCCGAGGCCCAGCTGCCTCCTGCTGCCCACCCATCTGTCCCTGGGAGGTGGGGACCGGAGTGAGGCTGGCAGTGATGGGGGTGGGCAGGAGTCCCCGCTCTGAGCCTCGGATCGCTGGGCTCTGTCCAGACTCAGAATCCAAAAGGAAAAATCTAGAGACTATGAGAAAAGGAAAACGGGCTTGTCTGCACCTACTTGGTGTATGCTGAGCTAATTCACCAAATTACCGAATGCCAGAACTGGGAAGGCCCTAGGGGACCATGTCATCCAACTCCTTCCTTGCACAAATGGGGAGACCAATCTCAGCTCCCCATCCACTGCCCCAGGCCGTATCCTTGTCACCTCTCCTGGACAACCAGACTACACCAGCCTCCTCATTGGCCTCCCTGTAGCCCCTCTTTCGCTCCTAATGTTCAGTCTCCACCCTTAGCCAGAGGGGTCTCTTTAAAAAAGAAATCTGATCAGGTTCCCTGTCTGCTCAAAACCTTCAGACTACTTCCTACCCCACCTCGAGCCAAAGTCCTCAGCGCTGCCTACAATGTCTCTCCTGCTCTCCTCTCTAACCTCGCCTCCTCCTGTCTTTCCCTCCTTCATTCTGTTCCAGCCACTGGCCCTTTGCTGCTCTCTTACCATGCCAACCTAATCCCCCCTGCCTGGCTTTGTTCTTACAGTTGCCCCCAGGTAGTCACAAGGCTCCATCTTTCTCTTCTCTAAAATGTTGCCTCTTCAGAGGGGTTTTCCTGGTAACTTCCCCCTGCCACTCTATCCCCTCACCTGCCTTATTTTTATCCAAAACATTTATCACTGTATGATGTTATAATATGCATTTATTTGTTCCTTGTCTAGAATATAAGATCTGTGAAGGCAGCAGTCATGTCTATGT